TCCTTCCTTCCTTCCTTCCTTCCTTCGTACAGTACCACCTGGCATGAAGCTGCTAACTGTTTAACTCTTGTGTGTTTTTGTTTGGTTCTTACCACCCCAAAAGTGCTGTGGGCCTTTACTGGACCCCATCCAATGTTCATGTTTTCTTCGTGATTCACGGGGATGAACATAAACCCCATGAAAACTGGGGCTTCATCTTCAATCGTCTTGTGTTTAAAAATTGTCATTACACTTTTATTGGTGTACAAACTAACGGTACATTATGATATCTTGCGGGATGTCACATGATAACATACCTTAGAATATGTGTTTGGGATGAATCTCAGCTACACACCAAATTTGAGCTAAAAATTTGTAAAATTAAGGTTTAATCATTTTTTGTGTAGATTACAGTAGACACAGTGAAAAAAGCTTTTTCTCATAATTCAAGCATTTAAGAAACAGAAATAATTTGGGGAATCCTAACTGACCGAAATCCGGAAATGTTTAATTTATTGTAAGGCAGTGAAAAAAACAGTAGCTCCTTATCTTCTTATGTATGTAAACATCTGGCTTCAACTACCTACTGGAGTTAATGCTACTCAATAGGCACCAAAGACTGAATTTAGCAGACAGACAATTAGCTATAATCCAGTCAGTTTGACAGGTACTGAGCTAAAGTTTGATGTGGTAGTAGCTGAGAGTCTCAATACAATCACTGAGAGCAAATCTATTTATTTGTTTCAAACAGATTAAAACTTCGCCTGAGAGCACACATATGTCATCCTTTAAGTTTGACATAAAAAGGAAAACTAATTTTTTTTGTATTATTAAATTTAGGGAAATTGATTTTAAGACTGCTTTATTTATTTCTACACTAATTAGTAAGGTTCTGCTCATAGGGGAGGCATCATGATGTTACCCAAAGTGTCAAAAGGTTTCGTCATGAAAGCTAATTCTGCTTCAGTCAGCAGTTGAAAATAAATCTCACTGTATTGTACACTGCAGAATACATTTGACTGTTATTAGTGCAGATTTATTAATATCTGCCCAAACAACACTTATCTATCAGCAACTGGAGTCACTTCAGCTCAGCTCAGCTAAGACAAATGAAATAAAACTTAACTGCAGTGAAATGTGGTTCACAAATGATATTTCATATGGTCATAAAAAAGAGAAAACTCACCCAGAAGATTGAAGAAAAGTATATAATTATCACTCATGAGCACATTTTTGTCAGTTTTCACTTAAAATAATCAATATATGTCAAGATCTTTTTATTTCATGTAAAAAAGTATAATTAGAAGTGTTGGAAACCTATAGCATACCCTCTAACAACAAGCATCAGAAAATAAATCCTCTGTTGAAATATGATTTGGTTTCAGTAAAAAACTTTAACCATCATCTTTTATATCTTGAAAAATAGTTTATCATCTCAATCCTTTTTCTAACACTATTTGAAAATTCTTCTAGTTATTGTTTTTTGAAGGTTCTGTTAGCCATCTGTCCTTTGCTGGCCCACCCTGAACGAAATCAAGTTTTGTAGCAAACAAAAACCAAAACAACATTTTTGAAACTTTAGAGAAAAATATCAGGATTAGTAGTTGCAATGAAGGTTTTATGTTAATTTAGTCGATTTCGTGCTTCATGAAAATGTAAAAGTTTTATTCAATTGATCATTAATTACTTGCACTTTATTTGGTTGAATCAGAACAATATTTGAGTTTTTGGGAGTTCATATAAAATTAGTGTTATGAGGTTAGCTTGATTGTTGTGAGGTTTTATCTTTGAACCAATTTGTAGACATTTTTCATAATCAGTGTCCTAATTTTCTCCCTGATTCAGAAACATATACAGAACATATGACCCAAGTGGATATGTTTTGTTCAGAACTTGTGCACAGATTAGCAYTGACATATTTTTTCTCTCATTTTTGAAATGATAAACAATGATAATTAAAACAAGAAAACGAAACAAACAAACAAAAAATTGCAAATGTGATGTAGAGCTTAAAAAGCAGAATGTATTAAAAAAAGAAAAGGTGTCCAATGGATGCTGAGTCTGTGGTCAAATGTCAAAAGTCAGAAACACTTTTATTAGTTTAACCTTAACAAATAAGGTTATCTGTGTGCATTTCTTAATGATGATTAACGTTTGGAGTAAATTCTTTAAAAGATGGCTGCCACAGCTAATCAAGCTTAGCCAATAGAAAAGGGTCATTTTGTCAGTCAGTTTAGCAAACATTGAGCTAAAATTTGATGTGCCAGCAGATGAGAGTCACCCCTATCGCATATTTTAAGCACTAAATCCTTSTTAAAACATTGACATCCAAGGCCGTGAATGATATGCATTCCTTCAGAAAAAAGTGTTTTATTTTAATATGCCTTTTAAACATGCCCTGTGATGGACTTGCGACCTGTCCAGTGTGTACCCCGCCCCTCGCACTGTGACTGTTGGATATGGGCACCAGTGACCCCCGTGACCCTGAAATGAAGAAGCGAGTATAGATAATGGATGGAATGGATGGATTATTTTAACATAAAAAATGATGCAACAAATTGCAAAATGTGCTTCTTTCAAACATTCAAACTTTAAAAAGAAAACAGACAATGTTGCCTCCATTTGTAATTACATGGTTTCACCTGTTTCCTTTACCCATTAGTTAGACAAATTATGTTCCCGCAGACCATCTTAGTTTCACTAAAAACGACTAAAGTTATTTACTGCTCTGCTCAAACAAAATCAAAATGAAAGTCAAATGTTATTTTAAGGGTCTGCCATGTGGTGTTAAACATGATACTGTGCAGGAGCTGCTAATGAGATGCTCAGAAACTAGATGCAAGCAACAAAGAAGTGTTGA